CATGTAGGGGGGTTCTTAACCATTGCCATAGGGCAACATGTATACTGTTTAATGAGAAACTATTTTGTTCTGTAAACCATCATCTAAGGTACAAAAAAAAAAAAAAAAATTATCTATATGAGATCAAACTGACAACAGCAACTCAAAAGGTTTGATGGGAAGCTGAGTAGACAGTGAGTTGAAGATAATGGTGATGGAGTAATTTAGAAAAGGATAGTGAGAATAGCAGCACAACTGGAAGAGTGTAATCGATGTCACTGAAATGTACATGTAGAAATTTTTGAAATGGTGTAACTTTGGTTATGTATATTTTCACCAAAAAAAAGGTCCTACAAGGTCAAGAAGGGAGAGTGTTGACATGTTGTGGGGTTGTTAACCAATGTCATAAAATAATATGTGTACTGACTGTTTCATGAGAAACTACTTGTTCTGTAAACCTTCATCTAAAGTACAGTAAACAAAATTAAAAGAAAAAAAAAAAAAAAAAGAAGGTAGAGAGTCAAGCCTGTATCCGTACTTTGAATTGTCTTGTTATTTCTTCTTGAGCTATTTTCACTGTTACATCCCACCTACATCTAATAACCACCATTACTGAAAAATTACTTTGTATAAGCTTTATATAAACTACACAATTTAATCCTTACTATCATGTCTCTAGGTTTATGTTATATGATAGATGATAAAGTGTAGGTGCTGTAAGCTTAAGTAATTTTGCTTGACTTCAAACAATTTAGTAAGTGACAGCTGCAGGACTTCAGTGCCTATGCCTTTTAGTCACCACACAAAACCTCCTAGCAAGCAAAGGAAATGCCTGTATTGGAGCATAAACAAAGGATATTCCTGTAAAAGAGAGTGAATACTATAGACATATGTATGTTTGTCTGGTTCATTCTTAACTCTACACATTATGCCTATAAAAACACCTGTCACTTACTATGTGTTTAAGACATAGCTGAATAATAAACATTCAATATGTCTATCCTTCATGACCGAATTAAATTTTCTACCTCTTCATGAGGCTGCCACCTTTTCTTTTGTGTGCCACAGTGACCTCCCAAGGATATCCTTAAAATTTATTATTCACTTTACGTACTTGGGCTGTTACCTATTGGTTAAATTTCCATGTGCTGTCAGTTGTTCCTCAGTTAATTTATAAGTTTTTTTCTGATAAGATCATTCAGCATAATGAAAACAATAACAATTGAGAGCTCTCTGATCTCCTCATAACAAGCAGTGGCAGGATTCTTGTCACTGAGGAGGAGCAGAGGTTAGGACCTACAGAGGCCTGCTCCCCCTTCCTAGAAAGAGCAGGGATGGGTTTCCGTTTCTAGCATCAGTTTCATGTGCCTTGTAATGATTCAGGTACTGAATCAGGATACCTGGAGATTCCTCTTACATCTGATGTCATATTCTCAGGAAATGATAAACATAGGGAGAAGCAGGATGTTCCTAAGAAGGAACTAATTAGCTTCCTGCAAGTGAATTATCTGGTTATGAGACACTCTCCACTGGTGGACAAAAGGATGAGCTGGAATTAAATTTTAGCTAAATGTCTCATAAAAGGCACTTCCTACTCTTCCCGTACTTGAATCTAGACATACTTGAGTTATATTTTCACATGTACATTCATATTTTTCAATGAATGGATTTCTTATGCAAGTCTGTCTGCAGAAGAAATCTGAACTTAAATGTCTTCACTCTAGAGACTTGGAAGCAGCTGCATGAGACAAAGAGGTGTCTTGTTAATGAGCTCATCTAGGTTATTAAGCTCCAGGATTCAAAGCATTTTTGAAGTATTGGAGTTGAGCCATGTCCAGAGTAAGAACAATCCAGATACTGGCTTCATTTATTCATCAATTCACCAAGCCTTGGAAATTAAACTTATGTAGGACCCAAAAGATAACAAATCAAATCCTGTCTGATGATATCTTAAAAGGTGTAATCATCTTTAAAGTTCTCTCTGTCTCTGTGAGTTGATGATGACAGACCAGACTCATCCCATCAAATTTTCCTTAAAACACATTTTTTGTTTTTTAATAATCTTTATTTTGACAGAAGCAGAACCTGTGCACTTTAGAAAATTAGAAATACAAACAAGGAAAGACAGAAAAATAAAAACATCATATTCTCACCATCCAGAGATTACCATTGGTAATAACCTTAGTATATATCCTTCCTGGTTTTCTCAGATGATGATATCCACCTTTCAAATAAGTTTTTATTTCATCTAATTCTCAAATCATATTTAAATTTCTCTGATTGTCCCAAAAAGAAACTTCATAGCTAATTTTAGCAAACCAGTGTCCAGTCTAGTACCATATAACACATTCTGTCCTTTAAGTCTCTTTTCTAGAACACTGATAGTTGAAGAAGCTGAGACAGTTGTCCTGCTGCCTCAGAGTGTCTATGCTTGTCAGTGTCATGCTGGCAGAATGGACTGAGCAGAAACATCCTCCAAGCAAACAGCTGTGGAAGGTGATAAAAGAGTTTGTGCGGCATCCCAGGTGCTTTGCTCTGAAGCACGGCTAAACTGGTGAAGGACAGCTCTCTCCACAGGTTGCTTTCTGAAAATTTGGCAGTAAATCTTGACTAGCCATGAAATAAGAATTAAAAATGCTCTCAGGAGTAAGGAAGGTTATTGGATATTGCAATCAGCAGCATCAACCTGTTGTTCTTCTACTCAGTCAACATTCTCTCGGTGGCAGGACCCCAGACAGAGCTGGCCTCTCCCTTCTAATCAAAATTATCATCTCCTTCAGTAGCAGTAATACAGCATGCACATCTTTCCCTTGGAACAGCCAGATGATGTAGCAGTTAACTTTACAGGTTGAGTGAGGATGTCTTTATGTTATGCAGATGTTTAGAATCCAGCTCAAAGCCAAATTACATGTAGGTCTGAGAGAGAAGTACTAGCTCACTTGTGAAATTATATGCAACATAAACTAATAATAATAATAATGTCCCTGCTCCACCTCCTAAACCTGCTTGACAACTTCCACTTGCAGTTTTGTGTACAGGCTGCAAGTGCCTGGGGAGCACGGTGCGCCTACTGCACAGATGTAGGAGGCTGAGTCGCTGAGCTGTGAGGCTGTGAGGTGCAGGAAACTGAACTTGGCGGTTGCATCCAGAGTTACTGCGTACCTTCCATTCGACTTTTTGCTCTCGCTATACGTCATGATTATCAGGGAAACAGGTCCTCTGCCAGTGTCCTCTTTGTACCATCTTAAGCTGTTAAAGGAGCTCACCGAATAATTGCACTGAAGGGTGCAGTTCTCTCCCTCCAGGACGATCAGGGACCCAGGACTCTGCTCCACTTGGTTGTTGCCACTCGCCCCTATTCAGAAAGCAACGTAAGACCCAAGAGATCAGTTATCCAGTCTCAATGCTTCTCACTTTGTATCCCTTCTTTATTCCCCCAAGAAATCTCAGGTGGACTAGAAAATGACTCTGCTTTCTTCTCTCTTCCTACCCAATTCACCACACCTTTGCCCCAAATCCAAAGGAAAATGTTCCCTGGACTTCCTGTGTCAATCTTGCTAAAACTCTCCACTAACTTACAATAAAAATGAAGCCACAAAACCACCAAGAAGGCCCTCAGCTTCTTCTCCATTCTTCTTCTGCACAGGGCTGCCCCCATAGATACTGGCTTCTTATTTGACATTTTTTTTAAAATATTAAACAAAGGAATTCTCAGAGAGTATGCCCAGCCAACCAGAGATCAGACTTTGCTCTCCAATACACATTCTACTACAGACCCATCCAATACCTGTAAGATGAAATGCAAACACTGCCATCTTGAGGTCAGAGTTAGAGTTGCTCAAAACTTCTGATGAAGTTTCTTGTTAGGTTTTCTCCTATTTTGTAAAGTGATTTAGAATATAAATGCTGGACTTACTCGTCTATGCCAAGAAATTTGGAAGAAACTACCTGGTCAACCAGCTGGAAGAGATCCCTATTTGTGCCCATTCCAAAGAAAGGTGATCCAACAGAGTGCAGAAATTATTTAACTGTATCTTAATATCACACTCAAGTAAAATTTTGCTGAAGATAATTCAAAAACAGTTTCAGTAGTACATCAACAGGAAACTGCCAGAAATTCAAGCCAGATCTGGAAGAGAATGTGGAACGAGAGATATCATTGCTGATGTCAGATGGATCTTTGCTGAAAGCAGAAAGTTTCAGAAAGATGTTCACCTGTGTTTTAGTGACTATGCAAAGGCTTTTGACTGTGTGTATCATAATAAATATGGATAACATTGCAAAGAATGGGAATTCCAAAATGCCTAATTGTGCTCATGTAGAACCTGTACATAGACCAAGAGGCAGTCATTCTAACAGAACAAGGGAATACTGTGTGGTTTAAAATTAGGAAGGGTGTGCATCAGAGTTGAATCCTTTCACTATACTTATTCAATCTGTATACTGAGCAAATAATCCAAGAAGCTGGACTATATGAAGAAGAACATGGCATCAGGATTGAAGGAAGACTCATTAGCAACCTACGACATGCAGATGACACAGCCTTGCTTGCTGAAAGGGACTAGAATTTGAAGTACTTACTGATGAAGATCAAAGACTACAGCCTTCAGTATGGATTACACTTCAACATAAAGAACATAAACGTGACCAGCTTATATGAATCAGGAAACAAATGCTATTCCTAGACTCTTAATGAAGCTCTAACATCAAGGATGTTTTCTGCTGTTGTCCATCTGTCAACACTTTACCCTCAAACTTCACAAAATAATTTTCCCTAAAGGGTACAAAACTCAGAAGATATGGTTTTACATCAAAAGATTGACACATGAGACTCTCTTCTGACTCAGGTTCTCAAATTAATAAAGATACATCAGTTGATAGTCACATATCAGCTGATAGTAAAGGTTCTGATACCTGGCTCTTTGAGAACTGACTCAATGAGTGAGTGATTTAAAATTACAGACTTTGAGATTCCACCACTAACTTCATGAATCATAATTTCCCAGTTTGAGACCCCAACATTTGTATTTTCTTAAAAGCTCCCAGGTGGTTCTAATGCAGCCATCCTGATACCAGTTTACAAGATTTCATTTGCGAACACTGTTGGATTGTTATCGTACTGTTATCTATACTTAAAAAAAAAAAAAAAGTTTAAATACAATGAGAATCTAGAGAAGGAATATTTTATATGTTGGGCCATACGAGAGGACTTCCACAAGATTAAGGAAAGGTATTTGTTTAATTGGGGCTTTTTAATGGCTTTGCTGGGGTATAACAGACATGAAATAAAGTGCACATATTTAAAATGAACAATTCAGTGAGGTTTGACACAAGTATACACTTCTGAAACCATCATCACCATCAAAATAATGAATACATGCACTGCCCAGAAAGTTTCCTCTTGTCTCTTTGTAATCCTTCTCTCAATTCTTTTCCAACTTCCAACCTCCATTCCCAGGCAACCTGCTTTCAGTCATTATAGATTAGTTTGCATCCTTTATAATCTTCTATTAATGGAATCATGAAGTATGTACTCTTTTTTTGTCTGGCTTCTTTTATTCAGCATACTTATTTTGAGATTCATCCAGGAATATAATTGCTTTTTGTATATTGCTTTTTTATCCTGGAAATTTATTGAATTCACTTATTAGTGTTAGTAGGTTTTTTGTACATTCTCTTGGATTTTCTACATAGACAATTATGTTGTCTGTGTAGAAAGATAGCTTCACTTCTTCCTGTCCAAACTGTATGCCTTCTGTTTCTTTTCCTTGCCTTATTGCAGTGGCTAGAATCTCTAGCACAACATTAAGTAGAAGAGGTAATAGCAAAAATTCTCCACTTGTTCCTGATCTTAAAGGGAAAGTGTTCAGTTATTTGCTATCAAGTTTGGCATTTGATGTAGATTTTTTTATACATGCCCTTTATTAAGTTAAGGAAGATTCCTTCCATTCCTAATTCCCTGAGAGTTTTTAAGCAGGAGTGGATGCTGGATTTTCTCAAATGCTTTTTAATGTATCTTTAGAGATTACTCTCTTTAATTGATGTTCTGCTTACTTGTCAATCTCTTTAGATATATTATTGATAAATTCTCACAAAATATTAAGAAAGATACTACTGTCTTGTTTTACAAATAATGAAACAAAGCTTACACATGTTTTGCCCATATGTGGCAGAACACAGATAATAGTGTTGAACACAGCTCTCTCCTATACCTGTGTTTCCCATTTTTTCCACTGTATATTATTACCAGAGAAAATTTGGGAGAGAGATGTCTCCTTGAGCCTTTGAAGTATCTAAAGACAGTTGAACCATAATCACTGATCCAGCACTCTCCAGAATAAAACTTGGAACAGGTTTTGTACCCATCCAAGTGGAACTATGACAAAAACAAATGATTGCAAGTTGGATTTTTGACTAAAAGAGGAAAGAAAGCATACTTAACAGATATGCAAACTGCAGTTCAAGACCTGACCACCAGGTAGTGTCTTCCTTTCAGACCAATTATCAGGCACCTGCTTTGCGCAATACACTGTATCAAGAGTGACAAACTTCTAGGCTTTTGTGAACTGTCAGGGTCCTAGAACTTCATTCGTAGTCACTGAACATCTCTATGTTCCTAATCACTTTTTTTTATTGTGCTTTAGATGAACTTTTACAGAACAAATAGTTTCTCATTAAACCGTCAGTACACATATTGTTTTATGACATTGGTTAACAACCCCACAACAAGTCAACGCTCTCCCTTCTAGACTTTGGAGGACTTTTCTTTTTGGTGAAAATATACATAGCGAAAGTTATATCATTTCAAAAGTTTCTACATGTACAATTCAGTGACATCGATTACATTCTTCCAGTGGTGCTGCTATTCTCACTATCCTTTTCCAAATTATTCCATCACTATTATCTTCAACTCACTGCCGCTTAGGTTTCCCATCAAACCTTCTGAGTTGCTGTTGTCAATTTGATCTCACATAGGTAATTCTTTTTTTTTTTTTTTGTACTGTAGATGAAGGTTTGCAGAGCAAATAGTGTCTCATTAAATAGTACACATATTGCCGTATGACAATGGTTAACAACCCCACTACAAGTCAACACTGTCCTTATTCAACCTTGGGTTCCCTATCACCAGCTTTCCTGTCCCCTCCTGCCTTCTAGTCCTTGTCCCTGGACTGCTGTGACTCATTAGTCCTGTTTTGTTTTATGAGGCTGTCCAATACCCGGATGAAAGGTGAACATTGGGGGTGACTTCACCACTGAGATAAAAGGGTGTCCAGGGGCCATACTGTCAGGGTTTCTCCAGTTTGTCAGGCCAGTAAATCCGGTCTTATGTTTTGTGAGTTAGAATTTTGTTCTACATCCTTTTCCAGCTCTGTCCAGGACCCTCTGTTGTGATCCCAGTCAGAGCAGTCAGTGGTGGTAGCAAGGCACCATCTAGCTGTACTGGACTCAGTCTGGTAGAGGCCATGGTACCTGTGGTCCATTAGTCCTTTGGACTAATCTTTTCCTTGTATCCTGTTCTCTTCATTCTCCCTTGCTCCCGAAGGGGTGAGACCAGTGGAGTATCTTAGATGGCTGCTCACAGGCTTTTAAGACCCCAGAGGCTACTCACCAAGGTAGAATGTAGAACACTTGTCTTTCTAAATTGTGTTATGCCAACTGAGCTAGATGTTCCCTGAGACCATGGTCCCCACAGCCCTATGCCCAGAAATTCAGTCCCCCAGGGGGTTTGGAAGTGTCTAGGGAGCTTCCATGTCCTTTCCTCGTACAATGTGTGCTGGCTTCCCCAGTATCGTGTACTGTCATACCCTTCACCAAAGTTAACACTTAACTATTGTCTATTTAGTTCTCCCCCAACCCTCCCATCCCTCATAACCAACAAAGATTGTTTATTTTTGTGTATGAACTTTTACATGAGTTTTTATAGCAGAAGTCTCATACAATATTTGTCCTTTTGTGATTGACTTATTTCACTCAGCATAATGTCCTCCAGTTTCACCCATGTTATGAGATGCTTCACAGATTCATCATTGTTCTTTACCTTTGCATAATACTCCACTGTGTGTATGTACCATAGTTTGTTTATCTGTTAATCTGTTGATGGGCATCTAGGTTGTTTCCATCTTTTTGCTATTGTGAACAGTGCTGCAATGAGTATGAGTGTGCATATATATATTCATGTGATGGCTCTTACTTCTCTAGGATATATTCCTAGGAGTGGGATTACATTTTGTAATGCTTTTTTTTTGTGGTGCTGACATTTTCTTTGTTCCTCTTACTCTCCTGTACTGAGTTCCTTTTGTTTTGTGGATTTTTTTTCATTTCTTCTGTTTTTGTAGGTTTTGTTTTTACTGAGACTTTGTGTTTTTCTTCTTTATTTTGATGAATAAGTTTGTTAACTTTCTTGGTGGTTTGTGGGGATATATGCCATTTAAACATGGCTGCAGTATTGACAACTTCAGCCCCTCAAAGGCCTCTATGCTGCACAGGACATGTTGAGACTTGACAGCGATGAAGAGGGGATTAGGCATGACTTGTTTTCCCAACCTATTGTCCCATTACTAATTGGCTTGTTTACCTGAATTCCTTCTCCCTTGCCTGAAACTTATTGTTACTCACCCAAGGACCATTGTTCTGTTATTTGCTTCACTGTTTGCTGTATTGACTATAAAATAAACTCCTGGGACTGAAGCTGGGGGCTGACTCCTCAGAGTGACCCTCCTGGCCCCACTTCTCTGTAAGAGTTGTGGCATTGGTTATTGTCTCTGCCGCCCCAACAACCATCGCCGCTGCGACAGTGGTTACCTTGGAATTTACCTTTATCTTTCTAGATTTGAACCAGTCTATTATTACTTGGTATCACCTTGCCTTCCTCTCCATTAGAAGGTTCTATACCTACACCATTTATTCCCTCTTTTATT